TTGATTTACACTTAAGCTGTCATCTTCTGCATCCATGAGCACAAGGCTGATGAAATGCAGAAGATGATTACTCGGAAGTTGTCTTCTGCATCCATACATGACCTTAAAGCTGAGGCAATTCATGACGATAATGATGGCACAGTTGTTTCCTTGTAGCAAACTGGATGTGTGGATTTCCCTTGAATGATTTTATCAATGGATAGTTCGCTGCAAGCTTTGAGGATGGTACTGCCCCTATAAGCCTTGCACACATAGCTTATGAAGTTTTCATAGTCCTGAATCCAACAAATTGTTATCCTTTTTCAATAACATTTCATGGGACATATTTGATGATAAAGTTAAAATTTCATATCTGGGTAATTTATCTTAATCAAGATATAGTCAGTGGGCAAACCTCATAAAGTGGCTGCCCATCCACAACAACCCAAGGCACGTACTTGTGTGGAGGATGCAGGCTGTTTGTTTCAGCTGCATATTCTAGTTCAAGCTGTATAAGAAAACAGAAGAGGAAAAAGATTAATATCTGGTAAAAGAAACAAAAAAACAAAAGAGTGGAATAACTCAGGTAGTAAGGTTCACCTTCCAAGACATGAAAAATCAAAAGAAATTATTAGACAGCTGAGGTACCTAGTCTCTTCCTTTTTTCCCCTTTCTATTTACTGCCTTTGCAGAGTATAAGTCATAATTCAAGGCAAAGATTTTAACATCAAATAAAATTATAACAACTTATCAGATCACCTTATAGAAATTGACAAAAGAAGAACACTATATTTCAACCTTTTTCAAGGTGGATGAGATTGAGATGCCTGGCAATGACTCATTATAGGTCATGGAAACTATAGTTGGGGAACAAAACTCAACAAAGGCCCTAAAAATGTACATTGGTTATGGGTGCATAGATACAGACATGAGGCACTCCCAATATGAAAGAGAAATCTCAACCTGAAATAGAAGTTTATTACCACTCAACAGTACTTGATTTTGATAGGCTATAAAAATCAACACACATGCAAGATTGAAAAGTTAGTGAGACACTGCAACAAACTTTACATTATTTTTCATCTCAATTGTCTAGTTGAGTAGGAATGAACACTACTACAAAATAGAAAACTAACCTCTTTCCCATGTCCACTAGTATAGCAATCTGCAATGAGTTTAGAGTCTAATACTAATTTCTCAAAGCATGATTCCCATTCAGGGTACTGGCGCTAGTACACCAATGTTTCAACGCAATTGATGAAAGGGAAATGTTCATTCTGCATAAAAAATTCATGGCTTTTATAAGTTCCTGAAAGCTGAAAAAGACTGCCCACTGTTTGTCTATCTATCTACCTCATATCTACTTGCAAATTTGATTAGGTCTAAACAAGATAAAATTTTTAGATTTTTAACTCCATTCCCAAATGCATCTCTATTCATAATAATTCAGGTGAATTTCCATAAGAAAAAGCTATACTATACAGGAAAAAGGAAAGAATTGGTGGCTGATGCATACCAGTTGAGGCCATATATCAATGGCACAAGCTTCCACAGTGTTCAATAAGCATTCATATGGGCCGTGCTGCACCCAGAAACCAAAACAAAAATTCATCATCAGGGAACCCTAGACAATCAAGAATACTTGTTAACATGAACAGGAGGCCTCAGCACCTGGCAATCAATGGTGTTGTTCCCTCTAAGCTTGGTGTTTTCCCAAGGGACGAGGGGGAGGTCGACGATGGAGATGAGATCATCATCGAAGAGCTTAGTGAGGTAATTGATTATGAAATCGGCACTGTAAGGGCACAGGGATTCATAGTACAAAGCCACTGAAACTTTATCCGAATCAGAAGTAAGCGAAATAACTGAAGCAGAAGAAGAAGAAGAAGAAGAAAACAAGAAGACGTGAACGAGAAACAAAAGCAGTGGTGTTGCTGAATATCCTTGAGTTCCTGCTTCGAGTTGATCCTTCTCCAAATGGTCCTGCAAAATCCCGAGGTTGGTCCTCGGGGAGAAACTTTGATGCTTAAGTCAGTATTTTTCTCCTGGCGTTTTTCTTTTGGTTCCGCCTATTTATCGAACCTTACCTTGTAGGCTTTGTCCATCTTGGCAAGGTACCCACGTGGCTTGTCCGCACCCACGTGGTTCAGTCAATCCAATAATGGTGACATAGTGCGCCTGACAGAGTAGACGTTTTAGGTGAACGTAACGTGCCTTAACAGAGTGATCACATTAAATGCGCGTGGTGTATTCTGACGGAGCAGGTCCCTTGAGAAAGGGTGTTCTGGTA